GGGCCTTTAGGGGGTGGTGGGGAGCTGCGTGGCCAGGCCAGCAGTGCCAGGGGCCAAGGCCCATGCTCTAAGGGGCAGGGGTAGGGGTGGGATGGCTGAGGTGGAGGGTGTGGAACTAGGGAAGGCCATGACCATGCTGCCTGGCACAGCATGGGAGCCCCAGCCTGGGGCAGGAGGTGCCACAGGAGTCCCCTCCTCCTTCTCTAGTCGACACCAGGGCCAAACTCATTCCATTGCCAACTGCACGTGCTGCAGCCACAGCCACTGCACTCCAGCCCAGGTGGGACAGAGACTGCCGGGAGCCCCTCACCCTCTTCCTGCTGCCCACAGCATGGCCTGGGCCAGAGCCATGGTTGGCCTAATGCTGCCTCTGTGGAACGTGGCACTAGTTCTCCCCACTGCACTGCAACCACAGCCCCAGCTGGAGGCATGGGGCAGCATGTGGTGCCCCAACTGCTACCTGTGCTTCCGCATGAGGAGTGTTGCATGCATCTCATGCTGGAGGGCATCCCCCACTGCATCCCCACAGAGCACCATCCTGTGAGTCTGTGTGAGGGGCAGCTGGGGACCCTTGCTGGCAGGGCAGGGGCAGACAAGGGGTTTGCAGGTCAGGAGTGAGGGAAATCGGCAAGGCAGGGGGCTGTGGGTTGGGAGTGAGGGGTACTGGTAGAGCCAGGTGCTGTGTGTCGGGAGTGAGGGGCACCAGCAGGGCCAAGAGGCTGTGGGTTGGGAGTGAGAGGCACTGGCAGGACCAGGGGACGTGGTAGGGTGATCACCTTTTTAAAATAGAAAGGTGGGACACATGCCTGCCTCCTCCTTACTGCCTCCACTGGCAGCATGGCTTGAGGACAGAGGCAGATGCAAGCTGCCTGCTGGGGGTTAGGGCTCCCTGCCCTGCTGCCCTTCTGCTAGGAGCCCTACACCACCATAGTGACATTCCCCCTGCCCACCCAGCAGCAGCAGGGAGCCCAACTCCATGCTGCCACCTCCCCTGCTGCTGGGCAGGCAGGATATGGGTTGCCATGGTGGGATGGGGCTCCTGGAGGAAGGGCAGCAGGGCAGGGAGTCCCAAGCCCACAGTGGGCAGCCTGCATCTGCCTCTGCCCTGCACACAAATCGGGGGGCACATGCCCACCATTCCTCCCCAGGGGATGAGTGCAGTGGCAGGGAGTCACCCCCCCCCCCCCATATGCTCCTTGGATGAGCCACCTGTGGCTCTGTCCTGCTCCACACATTGCCCTGGCTGGGCACCATCCCAAGCTCCTGCTGCACTCTCTTCCTCACCATGGGGGCCTCAATCTGCCCCCTCCTCCCTGCCATGCCCTTTCCCCCCCATAGACTTACCTGCAGGGAGCTGCTTTCCACACTGCCTGGCTGTATTCCCAGCCATGTGCATGTGTGCCTGCGCACACATGCTTGTGGCACTCCCTGCATCCCACGCCCGGCAGGCTCAAGCAGCCCCTTGCAGGCTAGAATACTGCCCGCCTGCAAAAATAAACCACTGCCATTTTCCGCAGATCCCTGTATGACACTGTGAATCTCGGACAAACACTGTTCTGGAGTCATGCAGTCCATGACTGGGACTTGAGTTTTCCATTCTGGGACTGTCCCATCCAATTAGGGATGGGTGGTTACCCTAGGCTGTGGGTCAGGAGTGAGGGTTACTGGCAGGGCTGAGGGGCTGTGAGTTGGTAGTGAGGGGCAACAGCATGGGCAGGGGCAGGGCACCCACATAAAACAGCTATTTGGCACCACAAAACAGTGTGAGGATAGCCACAGCTGGATCCACATCCCGCTGAGCGAAGGGGGCTGGGGGAGCTCTGATTTTGCATGATAAAAAGAAACCAAAATCAAATGTCAAAATATATAAGTGTATAGAATTAATTTTATTATAATGATTGAGGCATTGGTAGGCTTCCAGATTGATATATTTACAATTTCAGAGCAATAAAACATTGTGTTCAATGGATACCAATATATGGAGTGGTGTTTCATTTTAATTGTGGAAAAAAAAGGATTTGGGGTTTTTTAATCAGAGAATTTGGGGATTTTTAAACAGAGAAAACCAAGATCCCTGCTAATAAGGTACTGGGCGACATTGATCATCAGTTTGGTGCAGTATTTCCCAGGCCCCTTTTTATGTTGCTGGAACGAACCATACCAAACATGGGCTTAAGTATTAGGGCTGTGCGAAATGGCACTGTTCCTTGAGTTTCGAGGTTTGGACGGAACAGCGTTTTGTTTCAAATTTCATTTTGAGTCGAAAGAGCTGTTCCATTTCACCCATCCTCCTGGGGCTGATAGCCCGCGATCTGCCTGCCAGATGAGGGAGGGAAGCCAGTGCTGCCACCTGGGACTGGGGAAGGGAACTGAGCCCGATTGCTCAGTTCCCCTTCCCAGCGCTAGATTGGGCTGGGGAAAGGAAGTCAGCCCAGCTGGGCTGAGTTTGTTTCCCCAGTCTGATTGTCAGGCTGGGGGTGGAAACTGAGTGCTCTGGCTCAGTTCCCTTCTCCAGTCCGATTGCAGCACTGGGGAGGGGAACTGAGCTGGGGCTCAGTCCCTTTCCCCAGTGCTGTGATTGGCTTCCCGCACCCCAGCCACGGGAGGCGGAGAGAGCCAGGGCTGTGCTCCCTGCCTGGCTGAGCCTGGAGCTGCTGGGAGCACAGCCCTGGTTCTCCCCCGTCTTCCACCACCTGGCTGCTAGCTGCTTCAAAACATTTCGACTAGACTTGTTTTGTTTCAAGGCTGTTTCAAAGCTCTTGGTTTTGTTTTGATTTCGCTGTTTCGGGCTCAACATGAGTTGAAACAGAGTTGAAACAAAATGGCCAGCAAAATTTTGCACAGCCCTATTAAGTAGCTGCTTATCCATCTCAAGTGCCTCATGGTATAAATCTTACACCTCATGTCTGTAATCACTGTGTTATACTGTTGCAACAGGTACAAGCACAATTTTTGTTAGCTGTACACACTGACATTCATTTGCACCTTACTTTCAGATGGATGCCTGGCAATGAAGAAAATAAGCAGAAAACAGATGTGCATTACAGGTCACTGGATGGTGAAGGGAATTTTAACTGGAGATTTGTTTTTCCTTTTGACTACTTTCCAGCTGAGCAACTCTGTACTATTTCTAAAAAGGTGAGCTTCTGTAAAGGTTTCACACACAAGTAAGGTAATGATTAATCTTGTTTATATTTTCTCTGTTAACCTATAAGGAGGCATTTTAAGCTACCTTTCACCTTGTCCATTAAAATCCATACAGTTGTATGTGCATATTTGAAAGCAGAATTGAGTTATGTGCATAGTTTTTGGCCTAATTCCATGCTCACTCAAACAATCTCCTTCAGTCTCACTGGGTTTAATTCTGTTCTTTGTTACAGAGGTGTCACTTTCTAGATTGAAATAAATTTTCTATTATTATGGAGGGCATGATTGGATCTTTAAATTCACTTGTAGGAATCCACCAGTGACAGGAGAAGGCTGCCTTGCATTTTCAAATGTGCAATACTTTAAAATGTGTTTAATTGATTTTTTTCTTCTCTTAGGAACATTTTTGGAGTCTTGACAATACAGAATTCAGAATCCCACCCAAGCTAATTATTCAGATATGGGATAATGACAAGTTCTCCTTGGATGACTATTTGGGTATGATTTTCAGTTTTAAGAACTATTATTGTTGGAATGTAAGAGATCATAAAATGAATGAATGAGTATCTACAGAGAAGGTGATGCAATTTAACTAATCTTCTTTGCATGCACAGCTTAATTCATTAATAGGAATTAATTATCTCTGTATAGACAAGCCTTTAGAATACTATGCAAAAACTACAGTAGTAAGGAATTGACTAAAACCGTCTTTCTTAGAATCCTGTATCTTGGTGTTAGTATGTCACCAAACTATTTAAAATATTGAGAAAAAGTAACCCCCTTTTTTGATGAGCATAGTATGCTGGTCTTCCTTGTGGAATGGGCACACAACTTACTACATTATAAAAGAGGCTAGTGATTTACCATGCATCAGCTGCTCCACAGTAACTGCCTGTGCGCACACTCTTACTCCACAGTAAAGGAAAGCTATCTCATAGCAGCTTTGCGTCTAGTGACAAAAAGGTAATTTACCACAGATTAGTTTTCCTTTCCCACTGGGTAAGAGAATGCATCCAGGAAGCTGATGATTGGCAAATTCCCACTCCCTTTTACCTCATGGTAACTTTTTGACACATCTCAAATCTATCTTGAATCTATCTTTAATATTGGCCTTGAAGGCAGATACTGGATGACACAGAACACAGGTCAGGTGTTATACAAAAACATTTTATAGCTCCTTGGAATCTGCTACATTGCTCCTGTTCTGATCAGAGCTGGCCTCCAGCTTGCATGGGGTAGCAAACAGCTACAAGAAGCTGAATACACAGCTAAAGATTGGTGGCTTAAAAATGGGTAAATCATATCATTATATAAAATTGTGTGCATAATGTTGCTTTATGTAATATATTTTTTCTTTAACTATTTTACTTACAGTGGGTAAATTCTGCTCTCAGTTAAAAGTCACTGAGGTTGTACTGGGAAAACTGAGAAGAGAATTTTGCTCAGTGAATTTTATTGACAGCATCAGTTCAAGATTAACAGGATGAGCTTAGATACATGCAGCTTCTTTCTAGATATACAAATGTATCTTTCAGTGTATTTTATTTCTAATAAGTGGAGTTCTTGCTATTCTTCTACAAGGCTTATAATGAGAACTTCCCAAATATGCCCATGTTTGACAGTGGAAGACACAACGCAAATAAGCTTTATCTTGAATCGGTGTGCCCCACTAGCCAGCAATGTTATACAGCATGCTTTTTTCTTTCTTAGGTTTTGTCGAACTTGATTTGCATAACACAATTATTCCAGCAAAAGTCTCAGAGAAGTGCACTATCGACATGATTCCAGAATACAAGGCAACCAACTCTCTCAAGGCTCCCAAGACTGCTTCACTCTTTGAACAGAAATCCATGAAAGGGTGGTGGCCGTGCTATGTGGAAAAGGATGGTTCACGTGTTTTGGCTGTATGGTTATTTTCTTATGCTTGCTTCATGAACTCTCTATAATATGCAGGCTAGGAATCTGGCACTGAAAATGCTTGTGCATGACAGTAACCGCATACATAGCAGCAGTATATTTGAGCTTACATGACAGCTCATAAGTAAAGGTATTCTCATGAGGCTATACAATATCACCCCTTTAGAATGTATATTTACCACTACTCTCTTCTGGCTCTATATCAGACTTATTTCAAATGCATATAATCTTGTATTTTTCTAGAAGCTTGCATATAAATCTTAATACAGTTTGAGGTGAATGACAAACATTTTTATTGACAGATATTCACCAACTGCAATTTTTATTGAATTCATTTTAAAAAATATTTCTGGGAGCTTAATACAGGTTAAAATTCTCATGAAAAAAATACAAACCCCCACTTGACCCGAAAGACAAATAGAATTCTTTCACATTATAAGCATTTATTTTGCTCATAAGAACCAACCAGTGAGTAGCCAGGAATCTGTACTAGGGATGGCTTCCAAAACCACTTTCCCGGCCTATATTTTTTAACTCCAGACTCTCTGGTAGCATGGTGTAACACTTTCATTTTCTAGAAATGCATTTTGAAGTAGCAACTGAAGAAAGTGTGAAAAGGAGCTTACCCACAAGTTTATGAAGATATAAAACCAAACAAATATTTTATTTAGCGTTTAAGAAAAATGTTTTTCTAATGTGATGCCACATGTTTAACATGCCTTAATTTACCAAAGGGTAAAGTGGAGATGACTCTGGAAGTCATCAATGAAAAAGAGGCTGAAGAAAAGCCAGCTGGTAAAGGAAGAGATGAACCCAACATGAACCCCAAATTAGACATGCCAAAGTAAGAGTTTTTTTAAGTACTTGGAAGAATGCTATTATGCCTCTAGAAACTGGAAAATATAGTTGATGAATGCCATATTTTGTAAATGCTATGTCATCTGTCTGCCATACTTTGACAAATTTTATATTGAGTAGCCAATTCTGTCTCTTTCCATGCCTATCAGAATACAATGCAATGTGTTTCCTGCATAGTTGTTCCAATTTAATGAAACTCTGCCAGTTTCTACCAAATACTATTTGTTTAAATATTTATATTTTATGTTCTATATTTTAATTATTAATTGACTTGCATTGTATTTCTCAGACAAGTATTTAATAACCCTGTTTATTAAAGTGATTAATATTGTTTCTTTCAAACTGCAGCCGACCAGAAACCTCCTTCCTTTGGTTCACAAACCCATGTAAGACCATGAAATTTATAGTGTGGCGCAGATTTAAATGGGTCTTCATAGGCATTATCATCTTGTTGATTGTGCTCTTGTTTGTGGCAATCCTTCTATATTCCCTGCCGGTAAGCATTTTGAAATATTCTCCTACTGTTCATCTCATCAGTTGTGGCTTAACTCTGGCCTATATTTAGGCTTCATAGCCGATTGTGGCCCTGTACTCCTTACTCAGGCAAGAGTTCCTTTTAAATCTGTCCTAGTGGGGAGTTTAGTGCTGGACTATTAGATCTTCATTTTTTTATACTTAATAGAACTTTCAGTCTCTTCATCAATTACAAATAACATATGTATTGACTGAAAGAAGATTTCAGTTGGCTAGTAGAAATCAGAGGCAAGGACCAGGTAATTAATCCCTGTAAAGCATTTTAAACTGCATTGTTATGGGAATTAAGATAGTTGTGGGGACTGCATTTCATTCTACTTTCATTTTAAATAGAATAGATTGTAGCTAAATTAAACAACTATGAAGTACTTTAGCTGTTTCTGACATACTGTTATGACATACTGTGATTTGTTTCAGTAGTATATATGTCACTTATAAAACTCTGCAAGTTTAAAGGTAGAGCACATACTTTTGCCTCTATTTATTCTTTATTCATGTCTTCTTTTTTTCTAGAATTATATTTCAATGAAGATTGTGAAACCGCTTTAAAGAAGATGTTTTAAATAGTAATGAGGTTGTTTTACCTCAGGCTATAGACCAAAAATATACATGCACCAAATTCAGCAAGATTCACTTCATGGTTTTAATGTTGTTTTCTTGTAGGTTAAACCAGGAAATAGATAAGGGATAAGAATTTAACCAAGGTTAGCCAAGGTTCACGGGGTCATGACTGGTGTAAAAAGTCATGTTCCATTAATATGTTTTGCTTCTTATACCATGGACATGCACAGAGTTTCTGACTTGCTTTTAAACAAGATTTTTCATAAAAAGTCTCTCAGGAGGTTCCTTGATCTTTTTTTAAAACAGAGATTTTATACTGAGAATTAATTTCTACCATGTGCACCTTGAAACTATTTTTCAACTTAGTGAAAAACAAGCACTACATATATTTTTGTATACTTAAAAACTCACAGTGCAATAAAAGGGTCAGATATTTTAAAGTTCACTGTATTGTATGCTTAAAATTCTTTGTTATCACACTATTAACTTGACAGCACTGAACTTCAAACAGTATGAGCATGGAAATGAAATAAAACAATACTAAATTACTACTTACTTTGTGTCCCTTTGAGTGATTCAGTTATTAAAAATTACTAAATAGAAACAAGGGAGAGAAACTGACTGATTTTATTATGAATTGCAATTCAACAATGTGCTTGGAACTGTACAAACTTAAAGGAGAACATGATGCCACAAGTGCCAGATAGTGACAATTTAGTGGTCTTTGTTAAACTTCAAACATCTTTCCTAAAGATCTTTTTTTTTTCATGACCAAAATAAAACAGCAAACATGCCTGTCTCCTTAATTTCATTGTTCACGTGGAGTTTATCTTTAAGGCTCCAGACACCTGACATGTTTACATTGGAGGAATCTGCATTGGTTTGGATGGCAATGTAATTTCCATCAGAATCCTGAGCAGACAGAGATCTAGACATTTCTTTCACAGGGAACTTTACAGCAGAGCAGAATGACTTACACCAGCATAGATCTGTACATTGTATGTCTCTTCCACTTTTATTCCAGTGCAATGGTAGATTAGACTGGTATACACATCATGTGTCCATTAAGAAATTCACCATGTAACTGGTTCCTGTTCATTTCCTTTCTTGCAATTTCTTTTCATTATTATTCTGTTAGTCTGGAGATGAACCTGCCTGAGACTCCAGCATATTCTACAATGCAGACCTCGGTTTGAATGGAACTAGAAAAACTATTTCAAATACTCTACAACATACTCAACCTTCACCGAAAACCATAAGCTATTCAGAACTGCATCCAGGTTTGATCAAAATCTGTGACTTGGGTCAGCTTTTATAATGGATGAGACAAAAACCAGACACCAGAACAAGTTCAGATGCTGAGAGAATATGAAATATGCACATGAAATAGATTGCAATTCTCTAGCACAGTTCCATTCCTAATAGGATCAAGGTGTGTGATATCTTAAAAGAAATGACAATCCCAGCTGCAGGAATGGATGAATGAATGAATCAGAAAACCTCTGCCATTATTAGGAAAAACAAAAACTGTCATGGAGCATAGGAAAAGCAAAAGTGTCAGTAAAACCCCGCACGTGTTTCTCAGTTTTCAACAAAATGTGGTAAACAACATTTGACTTAATGCCAGTGAACAAACTGGAGTAAAAGTATCGCCTGAAATAATTTCCAGAATGTGAAGCCTCAGCCCATTGGCTGAGGGCGAACAAACAGCAGTCATGCTGTCAAAAGATAATAGCCCCGCTATTTTTGGTTGTTAAGAAACCACTTGAGAGTCCTGACCTATAAATAATGGCTCAGAGCTGGAACTAATCATCATCCAGATGGATTGTCACTTCACTATTGACAAAGTAACACTTTAAAAATAACCTGCAATTGCATCAGCTAATGTTTGATCATTCATTATTAAAATATGTCTCAATCAATACCCAAATCTGACAGAGGTTAAAAATCACAGCAGGCTTGTTTTCCATTATAAGGCTAGAAAATGTGTTGCTTGTAAGTGTTGCAATTAGACAAGCATTTAAGTTTAAAGAGTTATTTGAAGGACAGCATTCCTCAGAAAACAATCATGAAATGGGATAAGAGTTCTGAGCAATCCTGTTCACCTAGAGCTTGAAGAGTGGCAGGTACTGCCCTTCTGAGTTCACCCTCCTCCAGAGACCTCTTTATCCAAACATGCACAGACCTGGCAGTTTCACTAGAATTAGACAGATGCTATTAAAAACAACTAAAAAGCTTCAGAAACTATCCTGTCTCCCAGCTGATGTCATTTGAAAAGAGCATGAAGAGCAAGGAACAAACAGCTGCCTGTGACTGTACAAGTTGGTCACTACTGTAGTGAGAAGAATTTTAGTACTATCGCACACAAATCTTTAAGGCTTTTAAGGCTATTACAACTTACTTCAGCAACTCGAAGCAGCTTTAACTCCCAGCTCAAATCAGCAGAGGAGTCTCTACAAGTAGTGGAATCCTCCAGTGGCATCAACAGTTCTATGACACCCTGGATGCTGCTCTACTGTAAGGATGTGCTGTGGGGAACTAGGGCATCTCTATACCCAACCCACAGCCACCAGCGCAGCCTCTCAGGGGCAAAGAAGCTGATTAAAATGTAGAGCAACTCTGACACTGCTCTACTTTATGCTGACCCACCTGATTGCTAGGGCTAGATCCAACAGAATCTCAAGCATCTACAAGTTAGGCACTGCAATGCCTAACTTGTAGGCTCCTGGCTTGTGAAGCCTATAACCAAAGATGTGTAGGATCCCTATGAAGGACAGGGAGTTATGTACTTTGGAAGGGTGACCCACACAGAAAAGCAGGCACATTAAACCTGTGGAGCAGTGAGGTATTTGTACAATCCCTAAGAACTAATAGACATCATCAGTTTGGAGCAGGCAGCCTGCCTGAGGGTGTGGGCTGCCAATGGACTTGAGACAACATGATTATCTGCTAACCTTAACAATCAGCAAACAGGTTCCTAAATGCCCCTCCATCCCATCACAACCACAGATTCACTTCATTAAAAGAACAAAGGGATTTGACCACCAATGATCCAAAATATGAAACAAATCCAACAAACCACAGCCAAGAAAGAAGGCAAAAAATCTTTTTTTTCCTCTTCCATAATAGCAGCAGCTCGGCCACTGCCAGCCAAAATGTTCTGGCTTATGGACTGCTTCAGTGATTTAACCTGCATGCCCTTCACTCATTCATTATCCAACTCTCCCACTGCAATGTGTGCTTCACTTAAGAGTTTCTTGGTCCAAAATGGCTACTGTGTATCTTGTGAACTGAAACGTGAACCACGGATCCTTAAAATCCATGTCCTGGAGAAAATCCTAGAATTTGCCTTTTTGCGCTCACTCCTCCACCTCCACCCCCTCCACTGACTGGCCACAAGTCCCCAGCAGCCCTGCACCTTGCCTCTGATTGGCAATAGGCAAAAACCATGTTCCTGCAATGATTTTTGCCTCTTGCCAATCAGTGGTGAGGCACGGGGCCATCCTGGGGCCAATCAGCAGCAGGGGAGGAGGTGGTGTGGCAAGAAGAGCAAGAATAAAGGTGCTGCTGCCCTGCACAATTCACACTTCCACTGTGGTTTCAGTAAGTCCCTATGTATTTCATTTTACTTATGGAAAAATGCAGATTTTTATGGGATTGATTTTTTGTGCGATTTTTGCTTCTTTTTTTCCCCCCCAAAGAAAACTAGGTTCCCTGCCCATCATCCATCTCCCCTGGGTCCCATGATAGAATCCAAAAGAAGAATAGCTTCTGAAACTGAAACTAAGTCAGGGAAAGAATAAAACAGTAGTAAGTCTGGTGGCATTTTATAGAAATGGCCGAAAGAATAAAACTCATTTGTCCTGTGAGCAATAAGGTACTTCCTAGTCTTAGGATTCTTCTCAATTCTTCTCTGAATGGATGGGCTTAAATAGGTGTAGCAGCTACAAATGCCTTAATTCATTCAGCTCTCCAACAAGTCGTATGATTTCCTGATAGATTTCAACAAAGCTCAAGCAGATGCTTGTTTTTGTCACTTCCAACTGTAACTACTGCAGTGTACTTTAGCAGGGTAATGGTCAATGCCATGAAGCATGCACAAATAATACGTGACTGACAACCTGTCTTCCATCTAATGCAAGTCAATGAAAACACCTCCCCTCATGTCCTCCCTGGCCATTCCTGAGTCAAAAAAGGATCTAGATTCTACTTTTGCGATGGCCTTCCTAGCAGCTGGCCTGTTTCAATAGAAATTTCTAAGAGTTGACATTATCATAAATCTTACTATATTCAGATTAAATGCAAGACTACCTTGTTCACTAGGTTTTCTACACTAAAGTCCATTAAAATGTCAAATAAAACAAAAGGCCAACTTTGCCACACGCACACATTAGCAGCATAACCTTAAAATCAGAAAGAAAACTATCTTCCAGGCTGGTTGTGTAGTCTCACTAATTGCCTTTGTTCCCAGCTACTCTACCAGTGTACACTGCAAATGTACAATGACCCAGAACCACTATGCAGGAAAAGGGAAAAAAAAGAAAAGCCGACAATCCTGATCAAAGAAGATGATTTGCATCCAGTATAGTTTGGGTTAAAATTAAAAGGTCAATACACTGCATTAATGAGCTTGCATTCCTTCATAAATCCAGAAGATGGCACTGTTAGCATCCTATTTTCACATGGATATCTTCAATAATTGCATTCTACCTGGTACCAGGCCTAAATAGTTAGTAAAGCCCATCTAGTGTTTTTCTAATGTAAAATGAACAGCATTTAAACTGAAGCCAACCAGTGGAGGCTGAAAATACATTCCTACTGAGTGCATTCTAGAGCAAAACCAGTCAGTAGCAAAATCACTGGCCCAGAGAAAGTTTGTCTCCAGAGCAGCTGCTGGGAATTGTGCTGCTGCTATTAATGGAGTCATGAGTTCAACCTCAATGCCATAAAATGCTTAAACACTTATGAACAATCTGAAAGCCAAGGTGAACAGCGGAATAGCAGAATCCACAGGATAGCTTTGCTGGAAGATCATGACTCTTATCACTTGTAACAACAATTCCTAACTACTAGAATGGTTGTCATCGTTCCATTGCAGTGCTCTAAAACAGGGGGTAGATACAACCCATAGGCTGGATCCAGCTCTGAAGAGACTGGATCTGACCCAAGGCAGCTCAGGGAATGACAGCATAGGCCAGCAAGAGCAACAGAGGAGGCATCCCCAGGGACTTATTGTCTGCCCATTCAGCTTATTCTCCCTATGAGATCCTGAAGGGTCCTAGTTCCTGCCTTTATTTCCTTCATCACACCTGCTGATTGCAAGGTGTTGATGGGGGGAGAGGAGAGGGTGCAGCCCCACCATGGTTGAGGGGGGAGGGGAGGCTGGATCACAGGCAGTGGCTCACAGTGTTAAAAGTTTGCCAATCCCTGCTCTAAAAAAGACATCAGTATCATTAGTCCTTTTTTTTCCACGTGAGGAAAGTCAGAAGTGACTGTAAAACAAAGTAAAAGAGAACTCTGCGAGGTATCAGCACTAATGAGTGACAATGACTACA